ATTCAAAACAAGTTCTGCTGCTCAGAAATGAAACTGACCCTTCTCCATTCAGAATGAATTCCAATTAGACCTAGAAACCCAGCTCATCAATTGCATTTTCCTTGCTTTCCAAATGTAAAATTTATGTGAAACAACCAAATTAGGATATGGATAATGCCTATTCAAATGTGCATATGATGCCTTTCTTAGTGTAAATAAAAGAAGCCTAAACACGTTATTTAGAATATTTTTTGGATGACTCCTCTCTTATTTGTTAACAGAGTAAGTTATAAACAGCTGTTGGATATTTTGTGATTGGAAGGAAATATGTTTTTAAATTGTCTTCATACTTAACATTCAAGTAATTCTCCCTTTGCTATTATTCTTTGTCAAGCAACTAATTTAGGACAGCAAAGATTAAAAGAGAATACTTCAAAGTCTCTCTCTCTGTCTCTCTCTCTATATATATTTAGGTATTACATCTGTATATAAATCAGCTCACCTGGGTAAAGCCTTCATAAATCGCTCGATTCCAAAGGAAACATGGATGAAATGCAAACACGTATTTCAAAAAGCAAGAAAATGAAATAAGGATTTGAGCACTTAGCCTTGTTCCACTATGGATTTATCTGGGTTCTCTAAATCCAAAATCTGATTAGCATATTTAATCTTACACTGTGTCAGGAATAGCCCACCATCCGTTAATAAGTCTATTTTTGTCTCTTTTAATCATTCCTAATAGTTTATCTGTAAATATACTTTTTGTGAACAAAGATGCACTGTATGCTTTTGTGGTTTAGAAGATTTGGTACGATTCTATATGAAATGCAAGCATAATATTCACATGGTACAGAAGTGGAAGAAACCCAAACAAATGAAAACTCAAATAATAAAAGTTTGACTGTTTACATGTGTTGGATTAAATAGTAAGATACTTCATTTATCTTTGTGTGATAGACAAGGATAGAAGTAGTATGGTATATAATATGGTGGAGGTTATAGACTGATTTGGAAGACTTCAGTACCACTTCCATTTCCCATGTTAACCTTAGGAGAGTCACTTGACTTTTTTTAGATTCAATGAGGTCATTTATAAACTGGGTTAAGTATCATAGGCCCTAATTTAGAATATCTGAAATCTCATTAAATATATGTGAAAATATAGTTCAAAGAAGAGTTTAGAATCTGTAAATAAACGAAATGTTACTTCTATTTATACTAGTAATATGATATTGGGTCTTGATTAATCAGGTTATCTTTTTATTTTTGAGACAGGGTCTTGCTGTGTAGCCCAAGCTGACCTCAAATTCTCTACCCTCCTGTCTCAATCTCCCATGTGTTGGGATTTACAGGCATTTGCTGCCATGCCCAGCTCTTCACATTATCTTTAGTGAATGTTATTTAAAGGTTTTTCTACAGTTCATTGCAAGAACATAAATTATCATATATATAAAGGGTTGGAAGATAGGGAAGTGACAAGAAGTGACATTGGAAAAGGTAGTTACACTATGAAAATTGAACTTATCCTTCACCTACAGGGAGGGTCTTTCTGAACTTTTAAGTATAGTAATGACTAGGTAAGATTGTTCCTTAGCAAGATATCCTTGGCTTCATTGTGAAAAGTAAATTGGGAGCAAAACTAAATGTGGGGAGAAAAATTTAGGAAGCTGATTTAGAAACCAGGTGGGATATCTGACATGGATGGTGGCAGTGAAGGGAAAGAAGTGTGTATGTGTGTGTGTGTGTGTAGGGGGGTAGACTGAGAGAGAGAGAGAGAGAGAGAGAGAGAGAGAGTGAGTGTGGGGAGGGAGAAGGAGATACTAAGATTTCAAATATTCCAAAGTAAAAAGGATAGTACCATGCAGCATGGTGGTTCCCATCTATAATCTCAGCTACTCAAAAAGTGGAGATTGGAAGAATCATGGTTTGAAAGCAGCTGGGCAAAAAGTTAGTTGTGGTGCTGTCTGTGATCTCAGCTATGTGCAGTAGGCATAGGTAGGAGGATCACAGTCTGAGGGTGGTCTGGGTAAAAAGGGAGATCCTATCTGAAAAAACAGACTAAAGCAAAAAGGAACTGAAGACTTAGCTCAAGTGGTAGAGCGCCTACCTAACAAGCATGGAGCACTGAGTTCAAACCCCAATACCGCTTAAATATATACATACATATGTACATACGTACATGGAAACCTATCCCTAAATCCTATCTCTGATTGTGGAGCACAGTGATGTGAGGGGTAAAGCAGGTTAAATTAAAGGTAACAATGCCCAAACTCCCATGCTGTCAAGACTATCAACCAGAGAGTTTTTTCCTTAGGAGCTTGTTGTAAACACAAACTGTAATTAATTCTTAGAAATGCATTGGAAAGAATAGGCAAAAAATAACTTTCATAAAGTCCAGAAGACTGAAATTTGAAGAAAATGAACAATTTATTAGTGCTGATGTTAGGTATACCAAACAAGGAGAATGTAGTTTTCACTGTGTAAAACAAAGCAATTTATGTGATAAATTTACCATCATAATAAAATAAAAATTATTATTCATGAAGATGTATGAAGTGGCTGGAAACCAAAGAAATTTAACAATTTGTACAAAATAAGGGTCTATGAGATACCACAATAGCCATGAAAACTTTGAGGGCTATACACACATACACACTTTCTCGTTATACCACAACACAAAGATTCCTACGGGCTTCTGCTTTATGGATACACTCCCACTAATGCCTTTACTATGATGCAGAGAGGATGGTCAGGATCAACAAAGCTGCACACATCACTAGGGCATCTTTTCTTGGCATTTCGAATTTTCCAAGCAAACTGTTTGCAACCAGAGTATTCTTGTTCTATAGATACAAGTAAATTTAGTAAAAAAGCAAAATAACTCTTCCGTAAAGGTGTTGGATTAATGGCATTTAAAATTACTTCTCCCCCACTGACAGAGATGACTTCAGCTCATTGCTATCTGGGAGCAGTAATAAATATGTAAAAGGAACTCCACTGAGGCGGTCAGAACATCTCACTGCTCCAATGGATGACAATTTCAGGCTACAGCGAAATGGACAGGATAAAAAGTAAACAAAAAATAAACTGCATACTACAACCCTTGTCCATTCATTGTTGTAAAATAGGTAAGTGAACTGTTTTCAATTTCTACTCCTGGATGGAATTTCCTCATGACTAAAAATGAAATCACCTCATGAGTTAAGTAGTTAGACGAATGTTCTTATTCAATCAGGAGTGAGACAAGCAGTTGGAATAATAATTCCCCTTGAGCCTAGGAATGGAAAGTCAGGACATTTTTTCATTCTTTATGCTGCAGCTTGTATTTTTTAAGACTTCTAGTAAGAAAAACTGTTTCCATTAGTAGCCTTTTGCTTAAACTTAAATTATTTAAAATTTGTACAGCCACCCCCATTCTAGAGAGCATTATTTTAATGAACATTGTGAAAAGTATCTACTGGCTGATTGCTTTGTCTGCTTATCAATCAAAACTGGAAAATAGAATCCTGGATGGAATAAAGGAAAGTTAAAAATGCTACTTCTACCAAGAGCACAATCATATGAGGATGTTCTTGAATAAAAATAGAATGAGGAAATGCCTGTTAGCTAAGTTAACATGTCTAAATTCTTTACCCCATAGTTGAAAAAGAAATTTTTCCAGAGAAGCAAAAGAATTCAGGCTGCTGATTACCAATTTCCTATACCATCTTCATTATTTGAATGACTTTCCTTTTGATCATTTCTACTTTGAGCAAATAGTTATCTGAAAATCTAACGTATATGGTAGTAACCTGTACTTGCTCTTTCAGAAGCTGTTTCAACTTTTACCCAGAGTGGCCTGGGAAGGAAGAGTTAAAAAAAGTGCAATGTACAAAAAGTGTTTTCAGTATTTGCATAAGCAATTCTCCAATTAGCTTGTATTCAATGACTTTTTGAACATAGGCATTTGGCAACATTACTCCTCCTGGTTCATAAAAATACTCTTTCCTGTCTCTTCTCTGTCCTGTGGCATCAAAGCTTATACTTCTTTCCTCCATTCTTTTCTACCTCCCCCCAAACTCTTAACTAGATCTTTGACAGACTGACTCATTTTTCCAAATAAATAAAATGTGTAGGCCTTTAATTCTTCATGAACAATAAAATTAAAATTTCAAAATATTGGCAATAAATATATAACTCTAAACATGAATATTAGGAATTATTGAGTAAATATGTATATGTAGTCCGTGTGTGTGTGTGTGTGTGTGTGCATGTTTGTATTTTACCCCAAAGTACAAAATTTAAGATTCAAATACATTTTTTACATTTTTTTTGGCAGTGCTGGGAATCATACCCAGGCCATTGACTATAGTAGACAAGTACTCTACCAATAAGCTATGTCCCTGACATAAGGTCAAACTTTAAAGTCTTCCAAATATGGAAACTTTCCAAAGGCTTTTTCACCTTAAAAAAAAAAAATCATAAAAAATTTTAAACAGGGACTCATGACTAAAATTTGTTTTTTCTATTTGTTAATAGAACAAAAAGAACTTTTCCAAAATGTTAAAAAATACATAACACACAAATAGAAAATAGATATTTTAATGTACTGTTACAATGATTTGCATTAGAATACATTCATAGTATTTATACCTGTACCTTTTTGAATTGGCTATTCCTTTTATTTACATATAGCTATTTACCTCTCAGAGGTTAAAAATTTAGGAATAATTGTTAAAGCAATAATTTACTTATATACTGATTCCCCCCAAGTACAGTAGTATCAAATTTCTGAAGTTAAATTTATAGTTGTGTTTGTTGACACTTTCCTATCCCAACATCGGAGAAATCTGGAATTTTACAATGTAATATTAGAATCTATAAGTACTAAAGTACATTTGCAGTAAAACTGAACCTCAAATCATTATATCTCATAATGATCAAGGCACAAATTATTAATATAGTTATATAGTTATGTAGCTCTAATTCTATTATGTATATAAATGTCCTGTGTAAACCTTCATTTGTTTTATAGTTCTGATATCAATAAGCATTCATTAATTACTAAAAAAATTGCTTATTAATAAAATGGTTTTGTCTAAGAATATCATCTTATTTAAGTTAAACAAATTTTAAGGACTATCTAAAACTTTAACAATATTTGGCAAGCTAAATTCATTCTTACTATCCCTTCTTTTAATTTACTCTACACATATTTTTGGTGATAGCTAATATTTCCTAATAAAGGGAAAATCTTGCCTTGGGTTATTAAAATGCTTCTGTGTTATAAAATTGCAAATTACTATAATTTACTTTTTCTAGAATCTTGCCAATTCAGTTCTAAAATATACTTATCAAGGTTTCTTAGCAAGTACTAAGGTCAAAACCAAGATTATATACTTGAATATTATAAATATTGATGATAATTATTATAGAATTCTTTTATGAAAATAAATACATCCCTCATCACAAAATGAAGTAAAGCCAGTGCTTTTAACTGAAATGTAAATATATCTGGGATTTATTTGTATCTGACTCCTGAGAATTCCTTTCAAATATGTTTAATTTCAGTGAAAAAGTAGAGAGTCTTGATTTGCCTTAATTAGTTTTAGGTTTAAGGAAAAGCTCCCAGACACAATGATATGCTCTTACTTTAGCTCCCCTTCCAAAGAGATTACTAGTAGGGCTAATTGTTAAATACAGAAATTTTTAACATTGGTCAAATTAGACTAGTAGCAATAATCTCACAGCACCACTAGCAGAGCAATAGAACCAGGAGGAAGGAAAGAGTAAGTGGCAAGGCAATGGGAAGATGAGCAAAATCAGAGACTGACAACTTACAAGGCCTTTATGGTAATGAAATGAGTATCAATACGAGTTCAAAAATTCATCAAAATTATTATGTTTCATTTCTCAAATAAGGAATGGTAGTGAGAAGTCTAATGCTGAGTAGAGGAACTAGAATTTAGGATTATTAACATTTCTAGAACATACTTCTTTACAATATGATGTCTCTTATTAGAAATATGATTTTATAAGACAAAATTCTGAAGTACAACCAAAAAAAATGCTCAAAGGCTGACCCCAAATTTAGGAAAATTTAAGGATATGTTCTAATTTATAGAGATATGAGTTCTGAGCTAGTGATGGAAAGAATACTTTAAAGATATTTTGGGAGCCCAATATGAGGATTTTGTATTATGACACTAAGGAGCACTGATTATTTCTAATCCCACTTGAGGATAAGTGGTATTAAAAAAATCAAATAATGCTCAAATAAAGTCTAATTCTTAATTCAGAGATTGGGGTTAATTCCAATCCAGTGTTTGATCAGTTGATGTGCAATAGCTCGGCTTGGTGGCACAAAGAATGCCTGCTGTTTTCCTTTGGTAAGAACATCCACAACCTAAAATACACCATAAAAAATGCATTAGGATCTCAATACTGTCATACTTAAATACTATTTCCATGATTATATAATTCAACCAAAATGTGATTTTACAGTGAATAACAAATAGACATCCATAATTTAGTACAGAATTTCTAATTGCTTCACTGAAGCAATTAGAATTTTGATTTTTAAAATGTTCTAAAAAGAGATAGGAAAAAGAGGTTATGAAAAAGGAAAACATATGATCTACACTTAAAATTGAAAGTGAAGGCAACTTCTGAAGCAGGTTCCCTTTTTAAAAATTCTGAAACAACAATCTAATTCTTACCTTTTGGACTTGGGCATAAAGGAAAACTAATTTGATGTGGACAAAGACAGGATTTTAGGTCCTTACTATCGTGCATCCATTTGTTCTATACAAATGCTTTGGGCCATGTAAAAAGAGACATTTCATTCATCTTTCATTATATTAGTTAGAGATGCTATTATTTTACTTTTTCAGTGGTACTAGGGTTTGAACTCATGACTTTATGCTTGCTAGGCACTGTCCATTTAAGCCATGTCCCCAGAGCTTTGCTGCTTTAGTTATTGTTCAGATATGGTCTTGTGTTTTGGCACAGGGATAGCACTGGACCATGAATCCCCTATGTACACCTCCCACAGGCATGTTCTACCATGCCTGGTTCATTTGCTGAGATGGGGTCTTGCTAACTTTCTTCTCAAGCTGTCCTCAGACTTCAATCTTCCTGATCTCTGTCTTTCAAGTAGCTAGGATTATAGGCACTGTTCCTAGCCCAGGGATATTATTTTAAAAAGCTTTTTTGAGTATATATTTGTTACACTGCTATGTTATTCTTGTCCTTTAGTACAATTCAAAATAAAAACTTTTTAAAGTTTTAAGCATTTTTGCTGATATATTTTGATGGTTACTTGCTTTAATGCATAAAATGTCTAAGAACAGTATTTCTATCTCTTCTATCTGAATTAATGTTTATGTACTTTAAATCTATTGAAAGATATTATCATTAATCTGAAGGAATAGCATCTGAAACATGAAATGGCATACAATCTTTATTAGAAAAAACTCACAGAATGAGCTAAAATAGGACAAACTGGAGAACACATACTCTTCCTACCTATATGGACTTATCAATTACATTGTAAACCAGGCATAACAAAAGGTCTGTACCCATTCATTCAATCTGTTGAAAATATGCTTCCTTGCTACATGCCCAAACCAATACTGTCAGGGAACAGTCAATAGAAGAAGGAAATTAAATTGAACTTTACCTGTTTTCTAGTGAACCAGCAGGCATCCTCTATTTCATTCTTGTCAACTTTAATTTCTGTAGATACTGCCACAGCTAAACAACCAATCATTAAGGAGGAGGGCATTGGCCATGGCTGACAAGAGACATACTCCACATGGCCAACTTTCACTCCACTTTCCTCTTCTACTTCTCTCCGAACAGCGTCTTCTATGGTTTCCCCTAATCGAATGCAGCAAAAGAACAGCTGTTGATGAACATGCCTTGGACATTCTGTGCTCCAAACAGCTCAACATTTAGAAATCACTTTGGAAGGAAGTCCGATTCAAAGAATCCTAACACTACACTGGAAGTGAAGAAAAATTATTTTTCGAAGTATGACCACATTTAGAGTATTAAAATGCTAACAAGAAACTCTTATTTCTTATAGGTAGAAATTTGTCAATTACATTTAAAATATAGCAATTATAAAATTTACAACTATCTACTTCCTACTATTGACTAAACATTATGCAACACCTAATGTATCATCTCAGTTATATATAATTACTAGATATTCATAAACTGTCATGTTACTTTTTAAAATTGGCTAGCTTTTTCCCCACTAAATTTTTACATCTCCCTTTTTTCGGTTATATTATTAAATGATTATTGCAGATAACTCTTTTCAGGTCATCAAATGTTTAAAAATCATATAAGATGAAATTCAATACTTTTTCTTTTACAGCAATTGTTTCCCTCTAAATGACCGATGACTAAGCTATGATAAAATAATGTGAGGTCCACAAATGTTCTTCATATTTCTGATTTTGTTGGAATTGAGAAGTAGAATAGAGGAATCAGTTTTTAAGTAAAATTTATCTGGATATCCAGAAGTATTTTGTTAAATACTTAGCAAAATATTTTTTAAATAAATCTTTCTATTTCAAATAGATTGATACATTTCCTATACAAGAATTAAGAACTTATATTCAGCACAAGAAAATATATGGTGAATCACACACTAGTATTAAGATATTTGTTGGGTTTTTTTTTTTTGCGTGGTGCTGAGGCTTGAATTCAGGGCCTACCCTTTGAGCCACTCCCCCAGCCCTTTTATGAAGTTTTTTTTTTTGAGACAGGGTCTAGCAAACTATTTGCCCAGGCTGGCTGATCTCTGCCTTCTGAGTAGCTAGGATTATAGGCGTGAGCCCCCCGGCACCCAGCTCTATTTGTAAGATTGTAATAGTAGGAGTAGCATATAACACACACTTTAAAACTCCTAAAATCAATAAAAATGCTAAACAACCAAAACAAAATAGGCAAAAGATATAAACATCTGAAATTCAAAGAAAAGGAATATTAGATATGTAATGCACATTTGAAAATGATATTCTGTCAGCAGAGCAATGAAATTAAAACTGCAGTGATATTCTATTTCATACTACTAAGAATGACTTATTTAAAAGCCTGAATAACCTAATTTGGTGATGATATGGAATAACAGAACATTTCATTGTTCCATTTCATGTCATGACAAGAACATTTGAGAGCAAGTTGGTGACATCTAGGTAATGTTAGTATGCTAGCAATTCTACCCTATGTATATAGCCTACATTAACTCTTGCCAATGCATGTAAAGAGAAACATAAAAATATTAATTGTAGTACTGTTTGTAAACATCCAGAATCTTGAAATAAACTAAATGCAAAAAAGAGAACAAATATGGATTATTGACATATGTACTACTATCTAGCAATTAAAAATTGACCTAGAACTATGAAGGGCAGCAATGTGATTAAGAGAAAGGACTCAGAAGCCAAGTGTCTTAGTTTGAGTCCCCTCCACTAGTGATTTGTGGTAAGTTATTTATTTCATGTGCCTAATTGGTCTTATTTGTAAAATTACGATAATAGCAATTTTTTAAGGTTGAGTGAGGATTATAGGATTTGATATGGGTAAAGTCTTCGAAGTGGAGACTATTACATATGCTTACCACTGCTATTATCTGGCAACTGGATTAACATTGGAAGTTGAGATTAAGTGCTTATTAATGCAGATATGGTCACTCATTTGTTTTACAAATACTTACTAAGATCTTACTATGTGAAAGGCTCTAAGGACTTGGGATATAAAAAAGAATAAAACAGAAGGTCTTACTCTTATGGAACTGACATTCTAGTAAGAGTTGATAATAAAGAAATATAATTTATAATATTATAATTATATAATTATAATAATATATGATATTATTATAATTAATATAATAATACATATAAACACACACGGCAGATTAGGTGTTGTTGAGTACTATAGCAAAAAGTCATACAGGATAGTATGGATTGTGAATACAGGGTATAGGGGCTAACCAAGTATTTGGGACAATCACATAAGGCTCTTTAAAAGGCAACAGCTATAAATGTTTGGGAATTGGTAGGAAAACAAGAAATAATTCTATTTTGACTTTACTGGGTAAATGGCATTTTGGGTTTTTGTTTTGTTTTTTTCTTTTTTCTATAAAAATGTGTTACTCTAGGTAATAAGTATGGTCATCATCCTTGACCTTCAGCTCCAGTATCTTCCCAAATTAAGGCATTAGAGCTCAAAGAAAGACTAAAGGTGGTACTTTATATGTCTATCAGGTTGCTTGTAAAATACAGATAATAGCTTTTAAATTGCAATTGTATCAGTTTATGTAGGGAATGGGGAATTGTCTTAAGAACTTATTGAAAGAAACAGATTAAAATAAATCCTGTTATTTGGCATGTGAAAAAAAAAAAGGCAACAGCTAAATCTAGTGTAGAAAGGAGGTATAAACCACCTACAAACCTTTCGAGAACAACATATGACAAAGCAAAACATGAAAATCATATGATATTTAAATTGTAATTAAAATGGTATCATGTTTAAAATATTTTTAAGATAAGTCAATTTTACAACATAGTAATTTATTAGATTATATCTCAAATGCTACCTAATTTTTTATTTGTAAATGTTTTTCATGCCTAGGAGTGTGGCTCAAGTGGTAGAGCACCTGCCTAGGAAGTGTGAGGCCCTGGGTTCAAATTCCAGTACTGAAAAAAAAATTTTTCAGAATAGGCTTACCAGGCTCAACAAATCCAGCAAGACAAGTATACATGCCTGGGGGAAATCTTTTCTGCCTGCCTAAAAGACATTTGGTTCCATCTGGATGAATAACTTGCATGATTACTACTGGATCTGTTAAAAAAAAATCAGATATATGAATAACAAGAAAAAGTAATTTAGAGTCAGTATGCAAAGTCACAGTCTGGTAAGGTAATATAAAGGCATATCTCCTCCAGTAGCAACCAGGTTCTTGTTTGTTTGAGATTGTTCCTTTCTATTCTTATGTAACTGATGACAAAGTGCCTGAGAGAAACTGCAGAGAATTTTGTCAGCAGGCCAAAAAAATACGATTTTTGCTCTTCTCCCCTCAATCTTAGCAACATTTATTCTGTACTTAAGGTATTTGCTAGGCATATTCTTATTTTTTAAGAGAAAAAAAGTTTAAGTAGGTAATGTATAGACGTGGGGGACATTCATATTTTACAAGTAAATACAGTAAATTCTCTGCTTTCTCTTCCATTCCAATACTTAATGTTTTTAAAACCTAATGTGACTCTATGATTATGTTTATGTATTTAGAACAGTATAACTAAAATGGGGCTGGTGGAGTGGGTCAAGGGGTAGAGTGCCTGCCTAGAAAGCATGAGGCCCTGAGTTCAAACCCCAGTACTGCCTAATAAACAAATAAATAACTTTTCATATGTCTAGAAGTCATCAATTCAGGAAATTCTCCACACTAGCTCAGGATTTAGAACCAGGAATTAAATGTAAAAGACTCTGAGCAACAAAATCAGATGTCACTAAGCCATATATTTTACTACCTGGAGACCTCAGGTGTTTCTGAGTCTATTCTTTCTCCACAGTTTTAAAGAGCTGAATTATTAAATTTCCAAACCATAGCAGAATCCAAGCAGGAATTAGAAGGAAAGAGGTATAGTAGGCACTAGCAGGAATGAGGAGCTAGCTTAAAGCTGTATTGCTGTGGTAATGCCTGAAACAGGCACTGAATTGTTGGGAGCTTTATTTTGTCTCTCCGTAAGAGGAATCAGATTGGCTGACTCTTGAAATCATGTATTTAACATAATAAATTTCTATTGATTAACCTAAAGTTAAGAAGTGGCTAATTATAAACAATATCATTTATTGAAAAATCATGAAATTATATAATACTTGCATATTTATAATCTTTTTTTCATGGGACTGGGATTTGAATTCAGGGCTTCACACTTGCAAAGCAGGATCTCTACTGCTTGAGTCACACCTCCAGTCCATTTTGCTCCTCCCACATCCCAGCTTTGCACCATGAGCCTACTGATCTTAGTCTGTCAAGTAGTTAAGATTACAAGTGTGAACTACTGGTGCTCAGCTCTATATTTAGTGCTAATGGTCAAATTAAACATTTTTTAATAAAAAGGCAAACTTAGTGCTTAAAAAAAAATCTTGTCATTCCAAAACATCTTTTTTCCCAAGATTCCAAATAGCTGAGATTTCACCATAATGGGCTTTAATCCCTTCATGGACTGACAGGGATTTAGGCTGATTCCACAGCTTGGTTATCGTGAATTGTGACTATAAACATGGGTGTGCAGGTATCTCTATTATATCCTTGCTTACATCTCTTTGGATATATGCCCAGGAGTGGTGTAACACACAATATTTCTATTTTTAGCTTTTTTTTTTTTTTTTTTGGTGGTACTGGTGCTTGAACTCACAGCTTCGCCCTTGCTAGGCAGGCATTCTACATATGAGCCACTCCAACAGCCCTATTTTTAGTTTTTTGAGAAACCTCCATACTGAATTCCATAGTGGCTGCCCTAATTTACATTCCATCCAATAGAGTATAATGGTTGTTTCTCCTCCTACCTCTCATCCCAATGTGGCCAGCATTTGTTGTTTGTTTCCTTTATAGTAGCCATTCTGATTGGGCTGAAATCACCAAAGTGAATATAATTAAAGCACATTATATGCATGTATGAAAATAGCATAACGAAGCCCATTAAAATATTTGGTTTTTTTTGGGGGGGGGTGTTGTTAAAAGAAAGGACTGAGTGTAATGGTATATACCTTAATCCATCTACTCTGGAGGTAGAGACAGGATTGCAGTTTAAGGCCAGCCTAGGCAAAAAAGTTAGTAAGACACTATCATCAAAAACAACCTGGGTGTGGTGGGTCATGCCTGTAATCCCAGCTAGTCCAGATGGAGAGGTAGGAGAATTACAGTCTGAGGCTGGCCCAGTCAAAAGCAAGAGACTCTATTTGAAAAATAAACTAAAGTAAAAAGGCTGGGAACATGGTTTAAGGGCTAGAACTTTTGCCTAATAAGCATGAAGCCAAGTTCAAATCCTAGCACTGGCAAAAAAATTTTTTAAAGAAAGGGATGAGGTCTATTTGGTTAGAAAACCTTCTTCAACTAAATATTAATAATAATATTTATTATTAATAAATATTAATAATAAGGAAGGACTGTAAAATAGGTACAGTGTATGTGGGGAAGGTACTAGTGGGAGGGAGAGTAAATGTAGGAGATGCAGGTAACAGTATGTGGTTGATGGACTTCATATACCTATTTGAAATAGAACAAAAAACCTCTTACAATTGCTTGGAGTATGGTAGGGAGAGGGTTGAGGGGGAGAGACGATGGGAGCAATGAAACTAATGTACAATGTAAGTTTAATTGGAATTGTCACTACGAATCCCCCTTTATAATGAATACATTGTAACAAAAAAATAAATAAAAAATATATCATTGATCAGAAAAAATTTTAATTGTTAACAAATAGCAGGTCATGAATTTCACCAAGCATGTGACAGTTTGGGTTTTTTTTTAAATCTTCAATGTAAAACAAAATGGGCAAAAGTTTTATAGGATTGAATTTGGTGTTTCTTGTGTGTGACACCAGAAGCATAGGCAAGTGAAATAAAAAGACAAAGAAGTAAATTGGACTACAATAAAATTAAAAACTTATCAGGAAGATTGTGGTTCAAGACCAACCCTGGCAAACAGTTTATGAGGCCCCATCTCCAAAAATAACCAAAATGGATTGGAGGTGTGGCTAAGTGGTTGAGCACATGCTTTGCAAGTTTGAAGACCTGATTTTAAACCCCAGTCCCACAAAAAGAAAACAAACAGAAAACAACAAGAGTGGCAAGGATGTGGAGAAACTGGAACCTTTGCACAATGCTACTCAGAATGTAAAATGGTGCATTGGCTATGGCAGGTCATCAAAAATGAAAAAATGGAATTAAGATATGATCCAGAAATTCTATTTTTTGGAATATACCCAAAACAATTGAAAGCAAGGTCTCAAGGAGATATCTGTATACCCAGGTTTATAGCAGCATTATTCAAAATAGTCAAAAGTGGAGGTGAGTAATTCAAGTGTTCATAACAGATGAATAGATACACAAAATGGAGTATATGTTTGCAGTGGAATATCATTCATCCCTAAAAAGGAAGAAAATTCTGACACAAGCTACATGGATGCCTGTTGAAGACATTAAGCTAGGTGAGAAAAGTCACTCACAAAAAAGAAAATACTGTATGATTCCATTCATATGAGGTACCTAGAGAAATCATGTTCATAGAGATAGAAAGAACAAAGGCAGTTTCCTGGAACTGGGGCAAAGGTGAATGAGGAATTGTTATTATATATAGCTTATATATATATATATATATAAAACAACATATATATATATATATATGTATATATATATATAAAACAACATATATATATATAGTCAACTATATATATATAAAAGTTGCTTTTATGTTGTGTATTTTATATATATATATATAACAACATATATATATATATAGTCAACTATATATATATAGTCTCAGTTTTTCAAGATGAAAAAGTAAATGTACATAACAGTATGGAACTGTTCACTTAAAATTGGCTAAGATGATAAATTTTGTGGGGATAGGGAAAAGGAAGAATAACGGAAGTGTAAATATGATCAAAGTATATATATGAGAAAATCATAATGAAATTCTTTTACATAAGTAATATACACTAATGAAGTACTTTTCTTATAAAATGAAAAGGCTTACCAACTCTTGGATATGAGGTATTATGAACACCCTGGAGACTAGGACAGTCTTCTTTTAAACATACTCTTTTATAGCCACCTTCTTCAATTTTAGTTGCACTTCCACAGGTTGGGCAGAACTTATATCGACTGTGCCAGGCAAGAACAGATCTTGCTTGAGCTACAACCCCTTTTTAAAAGAAGCACAAAATGTTTTCATCCCATAACAAGGTGTAAGAAAAATTAATATGTACATATGATGCTCTTGAGCTATAATAAACAAAATGTACTGTTTTTTGAATAACTGTATGATAAATGGTTTTAGTAGTTGTTTTTATGTTGTGTATTTTTCTTTTAAAGTAAAAGATTTAAATTTCCAGATGACAAACAAAAATTAGACTTAACTTTAATTTGAATAAAATATAATTCTCATTTAAGACAGGTGTTCTAACATTGATCTTACATACTATTATTGAGGCTTTTACTATAGATGATTTTAAAATTTTTTAGTACACATGATGCTAGTGTGTTTAGATACTACTTTGTAATAGAGATTTTTATAAAAATATATTATAGTTGGGCTGGGGATGCAGCTCAATGGAAGAGCACTGTATAGCATGTATGAGACCTTGTATTTGATCCCAACTCTGGAAAAAATTACTACAAAGGTAGTTCCTAACTTAGACTTGGATTGTAAAGGAAATATTACTAGGAAATTACAGGTACTCATCTCTACTTTCCTTCTTGGTCATTAAGCTACTGTTGGTCCATGCTATTGTGGGACATATCCTGTTTTCAAGTGGAAGCTGCATACGGCATAAAGTATACTGCACGGACATTGGTGGGTAACTTTATGAAAAAAATGACAAATAGAATAAATCTTAGGATATATATACATTGTAAAGGATAGCTTTTACAATGGTACTTCAAAAATAATTAATATGACCTGACCAGAAATACTATAATTGAGGCATTTTAAGTGCCTGATGAACTTACTCTCCTTAAAATACACTATTTGGCCCATGTGATTTTGAAAAAAAAAAAGATGAGAACATTTAAAGTGAAATGAACAAATAAAATGTAGATTAAAAACAACTGTAACACTGAAATTCAATGAAGCACAGACAACTTTAAATATTTGCCTGCTATTACCTTGCAACATATAATTCAGTTTTCACTGGAGTATCTACATTATTTCACAATCATCACAATACACAATAATTCACATTGATTAAATACTTACTAGGTGCTGAGTACCAGGCAAAGAACTTTTTATACAAACATGTCTATATTTATTGACTGTTTAAAGCAACCCTTATGAAGGAGTACTACTATCATCCTTATTTTCTGGAAGAGGGAACAGGCACAGAGAAGTTAAGTAACTGTAAGGTTATATAGTAAGTAAGTAAAGAGCCTTACTTCCCTTAATAGTAAAATTTAAAAAAAAAAAGAAAGCAATTTGTCCACTAATAAGATCATTTTAATCTTAAAACTATATACACAGTTTCAAAGAAAAGAAATGTTGTTGGTTTTGATTTTTCCTTTAAGTTCAATGATTTCTCCAAAGGTGTGGAGAATAAAACATATTCCAGTAGACTTAAAGAAGCTACCAAGCAGCCTATGGAAGGCCCATCATGAAAGGGAAAGTGGATAATTGCTAAGTGAACCCCTCTATACCTCTCATTAAATCTGCAGTACACCATAATTATCTTCTGATCCTTCTACTCCACTGATATTCATCTTGTCAAATTCATCAACAGCTTCCTAATACCAAAACCAACTTCCTTAAAAAAAACCCAAAATCTTACTGAAATTCTCAACAGCATTTTATATACTTCACCGTGATCTCCTTCCTTAAATACTCTGCTCTTTTGATTTCCATGAACACATTTTTTTGGTTTTCTTCTACTTTACATGGTCTCCATCTCCTTTGATGACTCCTCTGCTTGTACCTGACCTCTAATGTTAAGGAGATTTAGTTCTAATTCTGAGACTCTTTTTTCTTGCTTGCACTCAATTCTTAATAGTATTCTGGGACTAACATACTACCTTTGTGTTGATGACTGCCATATGAGTATCTCCAGCTTAGTCCTCTCTTCTGAGTTTCAGAATCGAATATCCTCCTTATCCTTGTCTAAAACCTAACATGCCCAAAAATAAGACTCTTGATTTATTTACTCTAATCTGTATTGCTTTCCTTATTCTACCTATCATTGTCTATCAAATTACTGAAGTCTCCTAACAGTCATTGTTGTTCTACTCTTTCATTATATACTCCATACGCAATCCATGAACAAATGCACAAATACGGTTGATTTTACAGTGGGTATATATATATATATATATACCCTTTTCTCCATTTCTACTATTAATACATTAATTTGTGCATGAGTCAATGCTTCCACCATCTCTTTCACTTATGAGTCTTGACCTACATACAGATCAACTCCTATCAATTTTAAGTCCAGAATGTCTCGAACTTTCCTTTTCTGTCCATCTCTATGCCACCATTCTTACCCAAGCTATTGCAATATTTTACAGGCTACTGTAGTATGTAATACCCTCTTAACAAGACTCCCAACTTCCAGACTTCACCTACATACCACAACTCATGCTCTATAGAGCAGTTAGTATAAAGTTTTTCTTAAAAAACAAATAGTTCAGGTAACAACATTTAAATGGCTCTTCCAATAAAACCCTAGTTTCTTAACATGGCACAAAAAGCCCAGCAACAGAAAACAAAACAAGGTGTTTGCTATAATGTTTAGTATATAATGTAAGTTCAAGAAATACTCATTGGAGAATCAAATGAAATCATCATTCATTTGGATTAATTCCCTGGAAACTAATTGTGGCCAATAAACTGCTATAACTGTAGGAGAGTAGTGTCCTAGAGTGAAAACTTCAGGAAGTTCCTAATGAAGATAGCCTACCTTCACTGCTTACTGGAAAAGGCAGGCCACCTGGAAATTTCAAGTACATACAACTCTAAATCAGTTCAAAAACTGCATTATTACCAATACAGATAAACAGTGTGTCCATCTCTTACCAGCTTCTTTTTCTTTCAACTGCAGAAGAGCTGGCATTGGAGGATGAAGAAAATAACAATTTTCATGCCATTGCTTAAATTCTTCAGCAGAAGCAGGATCTATACTGAGAGCAAACCAGGCAACCAACCCATCTTCCTCTTCTCTTGGGACTTCTCCAGCATAATTATGTAACTCTTTTTTCATTTCAAGCTCTACTCCAAGGAAAATCAAGGTGATCTTCTCCGGCTGGGCCAAGTAGTTCTTTATATCTGTGTAGTTCAGCTGACAAAGCCTGACTTCTGGCTGTTGGAAACTTTCTTTATTGGCACCTAGAGTAACTAAGGGATTTAAATCTGAGAAAAGGATATAAATTGTGGCTGGATGGCGTTGTTTAGCTAGTAGCCAGTCAGTATTATTTCTTTTTTCACTTTTCCGGTCCAGTAGTGTTCTGCTAAAATAATTTTCTCTTTCTTCCACTTCATTGGTTAGGAACCAAGGCTTCTTCCCACCTTTAGCATTAGCTAGTAAGTTAGCTATATGCTTATAACCCCAAAATAGTGCAATATCCAGTGCAGTTTGCCTTGATTTATTGACAATTGATCTGTCACATCTATAGATGGAGGAAAAAATTGAGGAGGAACAATAAAACAAAAAGTAAACTTCTCCTGTATTAATTTCAATAAAATCTTTCCAGAAACACATGACAGCCTCCATATTTAATGATTACAGATTACCCTTTTTTCTTTTTGTACATGGTTTACTACTGAGAAGCTTAAAAGAATCATTTAATAATCACAAGTGGTGAAAGGTTATAGACAGCTGAAATTTAAAAAGAGATACCAAAATCCCACAGAGCTCTTGGTAGCCATAATGAGATTTACATTTTCTATTTGTGAGAAAAAGATCAAACTATTCATAAATTTGCTTTACTATTGAGAATACAGGATTAATTTCTCAACAGAGTTAGCTTAGTTGTGGTGTAGCTCCGAGTGCCTGACTGGCATGCAAGGGCCCTGGCTCAATCTCCAGTACTAACAAAATAAAAAAGGTAGCAAGAGGTTTAGTAAAAAATTATGCTACTTTTCAATATAATAAAGTGATCAATAAGTTATTTACTATTCCAATAATATTAATATGGCCACAAGAAAAACTTGAGCTGGACATGGTAGCACATGCCTATAATTGCAGCTACTCAGTGAGGCAGACACAGGAATATGGAAGGTCCCATGCCCAAAAAGGTAGTGAGATACTGTCTCAAAAACTAAATAAACAAAAGGGGTGGAAGGGTAGCATAAGTATTAGGTTGCTCACCTAGCCTGCGTAAGTCCCTGGGTTCAATCCTAGTACCACAAAGAGAGAGAGAGAGAGAGAGAGAGAGAGAGAGAGAGAGAGAGAGAGAGAAAGGAAGGAAATATGATGTACACAGAAATTAAACCACAAACCCTTTTAGGTGGGAGAGCCTAAGATGTTTACCCTTTCTCAAGCAGAAATTGGACAACATCTGGATGCCCATTCCTTGCAGCATACATTAAAGCAGTCCAACCATTTTCAGAAGTTTCATTGAGAAGAGATGGAGAATGGTGAAGTATTCCTGTTAACTTAGCAATATCTCCTTCTGCAGCTGAATTATGAAGTTCAGAAATTATTTCCTGTTTTGGACTACTTTTTACAGAAGACATTTCTTCCTTTAAAAAAGAAAAATAAGGGAAAACCTTATTTGCAATTGCTTTTTGCATCAATGGATGAACATGATCTAAATGCTGATGTCAGAAAAGCATTTATGGTTTCCAAAGAAACACACACTTTAAAAGGTAATTAGTAGTCAACTGTCATCACAACATACATTTCAAAATTATTATCAATTGGGAGGTATAATTTACATAACTGTGGGAAAGTAAGAAACAATGTACAAAAAGTTTTGGTAATACAGATGAGGAGGCTTGGGATAGGGAACTAGTAATGTTACAAAGAGGAGTGGGTATTTGAGGTAGACAAGAGGGGTCTTCATAACAGAACTGGGACAAAAAGCAGATGGAATTAAGGGCAGCCGTTTATAGCAGATGACACGTAGTGCTCTTTGATTCTACGGTACCAGGTATAGGACCTGATACAGTCAAAAGTATGCGAAGTTTCACATAAAAAACAGTTTATTGCTTTACGTTCACAATTAATTCTACAATCCATATGGTATTAATTTTTGTTCATAGTGTGAGGTACACTAGGTCAAGATATTTTTTCATTCCAGTGGATAATTCATGACTCAGCATTATTCTTGAAATTACCAACTCTTTTCATTGACCTGCAGTATTATTACACTTGTCACAAATCAGATGACCATGCATTTTTCAATCTATTATTGTACACAAGTTTTGTTGGTCACTCTTTTGTCCTTGAATTACAGGTTTTTTAATTATTAACTTTGTCTGCTTTGTCACTCTGATGTTTCAGTGGGGGAAAAAAAAATCCCCAAAACAAAAACAGAAGTAATGATCATTGACCTATTTTTTGTGTGTGAAAATGGCTTATGCTTCCATTGTCTATTAACTTCTCTTTTTTTGTTTCCTTTTAATTGTATTAACTACTCTAAGTGGTTTTTTGACACATTTTTTCCCTATGACATACTATAAAGAAAAGACGTGGGATTCTAATTCTACTTCTACCATTCTAAGTAATTAAGTAATTAGGCTAAAAAGAAAGGTTATAATCCATATTTATTGATAGCTGTTGTCTCTTGGATTCTGAGATGGCAATCTGGCTAATCAATTTTGTAGTGTAGGTTGAATAAAACTTAGGGAAAAATGGACTAAGGATTAACTTTCTTACTTTGTATCTGTTCACATTTCCTGTTTGTGTTTTTCTTCTATTTGTAAAACTTTCTATTTTTAAAAAACTGTTCACAGGAATGCAAACAACTTAATACTTAAAATCTGTTTACAAATTAGGGGTGATTTGAACATTACAAAACCATTTTTTATCTTCTTTGATTTACTATAAGTTTACCTTCTCATTCCTTTTAAGTTTTTTAATACTTTTCAAATATTCTGAAATAACAAAAGCTATAACTTTGCAGGACTTTATTTTGAAGCACTGCTGAAAGTCTTCCAAGTTGATTTTCTCTTAAATTTATATTTCATAAATTCTTATTAAATTTTCTTCAGTGAGATTTACTTGAATAATACTTCCCGGTCCATGTTCTGAGGTCAAAGTCATTCCCTCAACCTCTCCACAGGTCACTCCAACTGATTGCAACATTGTCATTCAGATGTACAATGTCATTCACTACCGTCAACTTGTAATGTTAATGTATACCGAATTTTTGGGAGAAAGGAAGTGAAAGAAATATACATTTTCCTCCTTAGCTTTGTCAACAGTTATCCGAAAACAGTTACATTACTCATTCCAGAGAAGCACAGAAAATCTGACATCCAGCTCTAGTGCTTAATTTACCTTTTTCATTTTCGGACAGGTCCTGTGGAAGCTAGAATTTGAAGGCAGGATAGAACGCTTCCCTTGCTTTACAAGAAGAGCACTGACTCTTTTGAGACGTCAATTAAAAGGAACACAGATTTTAAAGGGCTTAGACTTTAACCAAACCAACAGTCAGTTTAACTGATGAATAACCAGGGCCCAAGACTCGCCCAAAGTCACACGGCTGGAGTGGAGTAAAACCAGGGCTTAGACAATTAAGTCACCACGCATCATTAACGAATTCCACTCCCTTGGGCATCAAGAAGGCCAATATAACCAGTGAAGCGAAACCCTGCACGGTCTCTCCAAACGCTTAAGTACCTAGAACAGTTTAACTTTCTTGCCACTCTTGTGATATTCCTTGTTTCAAGGTGAAATTACATTCGAAGCAGCGATTCTTCTGCCTCATCCCAAAACTTGGACGAGAAATTGCAGCAGCCACAGGAACGGGCTACTAGAGAACCGCACTACTAGCGGGAGGCCCAGCTGCACAGCTCAGGCTCCCGCGCTTGCGCCTGCCAACCCTCCATGACAGCGACCCACAACAGAGTGGGGGAACCCAAGGAACTGGTCACCGCCTCCACGGGACATCTGGGAGACGACTAACTCACCGCTGTGGCTACTAACCCAAGAGTGACCAAGAAGAAGCAGTCAGGATACTGTAGAACGACTAGGACACTCCGACTCTCACTTTTCTAAGCGCCGGATGCAGCCTCCCTGACTTCCTGCGGAGATCCTGTGTCCGCGCATGGTTTTATGGGAGATGTAGTTGAATAATCACAGACACTGTGCCTTCCCGGAAGGGGCGGGGCTTGGGGGGGTATAGGGTGTCGGGGAGTTGGCGCAGGCGCAGAGTTGTGGGTGTGTGTCCTATTGAGGCCCAGCTGTGTAGAGTGAAGTGAAGGCGGTGGGAAAACTGGATCTGTTTAGTCCCCAACTTTCCCTCAGCCAATACAACTCAGAGCAATTGAGTTTCCAAAGCTTCTACAGGGTTATATAAACCTGGAATATTGGCTGGGCCTAGAATCTTCGGTACGTGATCATAAACAAGTTACTAACTGCTGAAAAACCCTCAGTTCACATGATGGGAAAATGGTACCATATACTGATGCCTACCTCCTTCAACAGTCCTTTAAAAAGTATGCGTTGAGTGAGTGACTCCTTGATTGGGAGGTTTAAATAAAATAATGCAAGCAAAGCTCTTAGGTCAGTGCCAAGTACAGAGTTGGCACCCACGATACAATAATTATTGTTGCAGTTATTTATTCATTTCCCACTATTTCACGTCTAGAACCCACGAAAGTTATGCGAGTCTCAGATTACAAAGCTAGGTGGTGTCAGTCTTCAGTTCCTTACTGTGCACGTGAGTGCCTGTGTGCGACTGCATAGGGATTGAACCCGGGGCCTCTAGCACACAAGACAAGCTCTTCACCACCGAGTTGCTCCCCAGCCCGACGCTGTACTTTCATAACTGCCTTTTCTAATTTTGTCTTATGCTTCCTTTTGTGGCTACTGTCTATAGTGGTTTTCAGCCTTTAATGATTTCAAATGATCAGACAGGAGATCGGAAGTACTAATTCCCACTTGAAAACCCAATCTTTGTATTCAAACATATTAAAATAGATAAATTAGTATAAGGAACCCTCATGTATTAATAATCCAGCATTAACAATTATTAATTTAAAATTCTAGCCATTAATATTCTTTTGAAACAGCTTCCAGAAACCATATTATTTCATTCATAAATATTTAAAGATAAACTTTTAGAATTATGTATATATTCCTAGCTATATATAAGTAAAATATCTCTTTAAAAAAAGAACATGATATCACTATTGCAACTAAAATTTTAACAAAATTCTGTACTATAAAATATTCAGCACGACTCAAGTTATTACGAAGACACTTGCACACTAATGTTTGTTGCAGCACTATTCACAATAACCAAGCTATGGAAACAGCTAAGATGCCCCACTAACTACAAATGGATTAAGAAAATGTGGTATTTATACACAATGGAATTTTGTTCAGCTACAAAGAAGACTGAAATTTTGTCATTTGCAAGTAAACGGATAGAACTGGAGAACATCATCTTAAGTGAAGTTAGTCAGGCTCAGAAAGCCAGAAATCGCATGTTCTCCCTCATATGTGGATTATAGACCTAAAACGAATGCAATAATATTATTGGACATGGGTCACACACTAAGGGGAGAACACGCACAGGAGGAATAGGAAAAGGGAAGGAAACCTAAAACTTCAATGTAGTTGATGTGCTCCCTGTTGAGAAGCAAATATAGTAATCTTAAACTGGCAGAGGCCACTATGGGGGACTAGGAAGTAGTGAAGAGGTCAGGTAGAGATGAACCAATGTGGGTGGCAATACATGTGTGCATGGAAACAATGCTAGGAATCTCTTGGTATAGCTATCTTTATCTCAAATTAGAAAAAACACTATGTCTTTCTTATCGCTTATGTTTTCTCTTCAACAAAATCAGAGAACAAGAGAATGGAATAGGTTCTGCCTAGATTAGGTGGGCTGGGGGACAAATAATGTATACACATGTAAGAAAATGTAAAAATGATAAAATAAAAATACAAAAGCAGATATTAAATATCAAATTTACTCAACTACCTTATAAGATTTATTTTACTGTTGCCAATTGATTTACTCAAATTAGACCTTAGCAAGATTTCCACATTACATTTTATGTTTTTAATGTCTATGAATCCTCATGTGTTTTGAGTAAGTTTTTTTTGAAATCAGTTCTTTAAGAGATGACAAAAATTTTGGTTGAAGTATTTGATGAAGAATAGTGATCATTTCCTCTGTAGAATTTCACACACTTTGATTTTTTTAGATTGTATTCTGTGGTGTCCTCTGTAGATAAAGGTTTATTTCTTAGCACATTATATTATTAATAGTTGTACAATATTTTCTTGTCCCTCTTTTTGCTATATTATTATTGATCATTTCAAATGTTGTCAACCTTATGAAGTTTATGATAAATATAAATTTTTCTATCAAATTTTCAGTTACTGACTTTAGAAGCCATTGGTGATTATTTCACTAGAGTTGCAAAATACTGATCATTCACACTACAGTTACTAACAAAATTCTTTTATAATAAACTACTTTTTCTCATTAACTATAAGGGAAGGTAGGGTAAATATGTGATTTTTTTCCTGATTTTCTGAATAGTGTTTTGATATCATCCCTGTTTTAAAGTTTATTTATGAATTCATGGATATTAACATTTTTATGTATTTTAGTTCATTTAAATATTATTATTTGAAAAAACATTTTAATAATATTCATTATTTTTATGCTTAGATTATTTATTTTACCACTAGGATCGCTCTCAAGGGGGCCCCTGAGTTCTTATAACCAAACTCCTGTAGTGTTTCATGGCTTTCTTCTTATTTGGTATGACAAAATATTTTAGACTCATTTGTTGATATTCTGTTCCAGACCTAGAGTCAGCGATTCAAGAAGCTTTTTAGAGAAGTGGTGTTTAGATACCACAGTCTTTGTAATGCGGGTACACAAGGCTAATGGAATACTGAATGTCTCTCTGCTGGTAATCATCTCCTAGGGGAAATTGAATAGATACAGATCCTTTCCATTAGGAGTTTATGTTCCAAGGGCAATAATGGTGCCAACAAATATATTAAGGAAATGAAATACTATATTCATTTTATGACTTTCCCATTCAGAAACCTTAAGAATTTAATTTAAAAGGTAAAATTCTTTAACTGTAGATACTCTCTTTAAATGAACATACATTTTAGCTATATTTTTAAAGAATTTCTTGTATAAACTCTCTCTCTGAACCAGCCAAACTGGCCTAAGCACTGACTTGGGATACATTTTATGCTTTCCTCAAACCACTTTTCCTATGATTTCCTTTCTCCAAGAAAATCCTACCTACTTCTTAGAGCCCAGTTGAAGTAACTTTTCTTTTGGATCATCAAGATGTCTGTCCCAAGGATTGTCACTTTCCCACCAGTATTTCCTTGCTTTTAGTCACTTTAGTGCACACTGCCCATTTTTCCAACTGCCAGAACCTGAATTGGTTTTTTGCCTTAGGGTGTTTTCTTATTATCAGATCAGATCATACTTTGCCATCCTGCTTAGCAGATCAACCAAGCCATACAATTGATACTATTTGGGAACAACCCCCAACTAATGACTGGTATGACATGAACTGGTATATTAAAAAACCTCAGTCTTTCTCCCACTAGCTTCCAGATTTCTCCAGTTTGATGAGGTTCTCTTTATCTTCAGTGGATACTTGGTTAGTTACCAATTCTGTTGGCTGTCTTTCCTTCCTTGTTTTCCCACTTCCTTCCCGTTTTTACTTTTGTACCATTGTTTCCTCCTGACAATCAATGGCATATGAATCTCTGTCTCAGGAATTGTTTCCGGAGTAAATTAAAGACAAGGATTTCCCCCCCTCCTTTCAATTCATAACTACTATTATGTAGTAGTTAGCCTCCTTTGCATAGTTTGGGAGAGTTATTAAACATCATTAAATAAGTAAGTCCCTATTATTAGTCATGCTGGAACACGTTATATTCTGTCGCCTTTATAAGAACGAGGTAACTGCAAATCAATGCATGGCATTTTGTCAATTGCCCTTGAGATCAATAATTTGGAGTTCAAACTTTATATCACTGTTTTTGTTTCTGCCCACAGAATCATTTCACAAAATATTTGTTCTTCACTATTGTCATCCCTCTGTGACTACATGGACTTCTTGTACTTTAATTTTAGCTGTTCTGGAAAGTTAATTGCTGCCTTTTTGCCCTGCAAATAAATGATGTGTATAACATGTAGACTATTTTTTAAGATAGAAATATGCGAACTATATCTTGTAAATTTAGTAAAAATAGATTTGTCATTTTTCTGTCAATCAGCTACTTAAACTTATGCTGTCTGGAATTATGCCTTATTCTCATCACACATTTACTTTTTGCATTAAGACTCTATGTATTTTTGCCCTTTTATCTAGCATGTTTTAATTTCTTTCAATATAGAGTCTGATTTAAAAATTATTCTCCAGTGATGGTTGATTACTTTTTATATATAGTTTACTTAATAAAAACAAGTGAGTAATTAATGACAAGATATATTGGGAGTTGTGCATTAACTCTATAAAATTCAGAGGTGAATTCAATAAGTGATGGTATCTTGAACTACATATATTGCTCTTGATAAGAAATAGTTTCACATGTAACTACAGGCAGAGAAGATTCTAATTTATATTGTTTACAAATTTTGCATTTTTGAATACACTTAGTTTACCTTGGTCTTAGAACTTTAGGTATACTTATTTCCTCCTTTGAACCATTCTTCCTCTAGCTTTTTAAATTATAGGTGACTTCTTGCTATTCATGTGTCAGCTCAAATGTCATCTCTTTCTAGAGCTACCCTGACCACTCAGCTTACAATAGCTCTCCTACTATTATTACTTTTTGCATTTTTGTTTTTGATATTTGTTTTTTTGTGGGGTGTTTTGTATTGTTTTGTTTTTGGTGGTTTTGTACTGGGGTTTTAAAGTAGGCCTTACACTTATTAATCAAGTGCTCTGCACTTGAGCCTTGTTACCACCCCTTTTTTGCTTCAGTTATTTTTCAGATAGAGTTATTTTTTAGATGGAGACCAGGCTTCTTTGGACTGTGATCCTCCTACTTATGCCTTCTGTATAACTGAG